GGACACAGGCGGTCCCGAGGACAAAGACGACGAGGACTACGAGAGCGATGCAGCGTCCAACGACGATCCCAAGATCATCTCGGAGATTGTCGACAAGAAGTTCACCATTGAGAACATTGGTCAGGTGTCGATGCAGGTCAAATCCACGACCAAGCCGCTCGACTTTCTGGGCCAAAAGACGCACACCTTCAAGCCCGTGGAGGGCAAGGCGCGCAGCTGCAAGAATTCGAGCCAGACGCTCTTCCAGTTCGTCCTGCAGCACGACGACCTTGCGGGGCTCAAGACTCTTCTGGACATGGCCAGCCACTTTGCGAGCCAGAAGCTCGTCAGCGGGGCTGGCGTGGCTCAGGATGAGGAAGATGGCAGGACTGGCCGTTTCGAGTTCCCTGAGGGCGACTTTCTCTGGGCCGTTAAGCACGGCAAGACGGCGGCTCTCGCGGAGATTATCAGCCGCACCGGTGCCGGCATTCCACTCGATGATTTGGTAAAGAAGAGCGGCGTCGAGATGAAACGCAAGTCCAAGTATTACCTGGGTCTGTCAGTCTACGGCAGGAAGAGGTAAGGAGAAACTCACAAACGCACTTTCGCCCCCGCGTATCACCAGCCTGCTAACCCCTATAACAGAAAGGACTGGGCTACGGCCGGGAGGAACATGGTGGTCCGCTCCACCGGCGTCAGGACGCCGCCTCTGCTCCACGCCGCCATGGCTGGCAACATTGATGCCGTCGAGTGGTTCCTCGGCGACGCACCTCATCGTCACTACGTAGACTTTGGAAAGTCCAAGGCAGCCCGCGAGGATTCAAGACTGAAGCATCTCAGCCAAGCACCGGGCGGCTTCGACCGTGCCATCTCCAAGTGGCTAGGCATTCAGAGTGAGTTTACCCTTTTTCACATACCCCTTTCCTAATGTCACTAACACAGAAAATCCAGATGAACTGGTCATCCACTGCGCCGTCATGGGACCTCCAACAGAGGCCACAAACCAAGTCATCAAATACCTAGCCCAAGCCTGCCCGGCCTCCCTCGACTACAAGTCCACCCTCGGCGACACCCCCCTCTGGCTCGCCTTCCACTTTGGCCGCCTCGACTTCGCCCGCACCCTCATCGCAGCCGGCGCGAATCAAATGGCCCGCAACAACGCCGGCGACAATATCCTCCACGCCGCCCTCCAGGGGATGCCCCGCGCCTGCCGCCTCGGGCCCGTCCTCGACCTCGTCGACGCCGGGATCCGCCCGCACCTCGCCCAGCAGCGCAACAACCTGTCCGAGAACAACGGCACGACGCCGCTCCACGCCTGGATAACGGCCGTGTGCAACTCGCGCCGGACGACGTACCACTACAACCCGGTCGCGAGCAAGAATTACGCGGACAACGCCCAGATCCTCGCCGTTCTCGCCCGCCTCATCGAGTTCTCCTCGAGCGGCGGCAACGCCGAGCTCGAGATGCTCAACGGCGCGGGCGACACGCCCCTCCACACCGTCGTCATGGCCCACGACGCCGTCCTCGCAAAGGCCTTGCTGAGTTACAGACCGAAGCTCCTCTACCGCGAGAACGCAGTCGGCCGCACCCCCGCCGAAATCGCGCGCGAGAACGTCACGGGCGAGAAATTCCTCGCGCCGAGCCCAATCACGCTGTTCCAGAGTAACCAAGACCCTTCGACCATTGTCAGCCGGCCCGTCGAGTCCTTTGTCAAGAAGGACGATGACGAAGAGGAGGTCGAGGATGCGGACGGCAATGGCAACTCCCCCGCCCGCCTCACCGACAAACAAAACACGTGGCGCGCCGTCCGCGCCGTGCAGGAACAAAACCCGGACAAGCGGCGCCTCGTCTCCCTCAACGAGGCCAACGACGTCGCGAAGCGGCTGGGCGAAAAGTACAACGCCAGTCGGTACTTTAGCATCACGGCGCGGCAGGACGAGTACGAGGACCCGGAGGACGCGGCGGCGGGTAACAGGGACGAGAAGAGTGATTTCGCGGCCCAGACGAGGAACGCCAGCGGCGGACAGATGTGGAGTTTCCCGCAGGACGAGAGCAAGGAGAAATGCCCCGGCTGCGGCGAGAAGCATTGAATGGCTGAGACGTGTCCTGGGTTTCTGTGGGAGGTGAGGGATTCGGAGGGGGAAGTGATGGGTGAGGAGAATTGGGTTGCAGAGATCTTTGATGATTCGAGGTTTTTGGTGTGGTGGTTTTGGAGTCATATTCTCCATGTTGTACGGGATGGGTTTGTCTGTCGGAAACACGGAGGAAGGGCATGGCTTTGATGAGTAACGATAAATATCAACAGAATGATATAATGACATGGCTGATGATCTAATTTTCCATGTGCAGTGCTCGATGGCTTGATAACGATGAGTTGGCGATGTAAGTGAGGCACAGTTTCTCTGTAAAGGTTTGGAGGGGGGGGGGGGTTGTTCAAAACAGGGGCACCTCGGTCCCGTTCCGATCCAGGTGAACGAACTCAACATCAAGAGGTCCAAAAAGCTTTTTCAACTTTTCATGCTAACGCTACCTCCCGTGGAAAAAAAGAACCGCTAAAAACTCCCCGGGTATCTTGAATTACATCCCTCCTCAAGGGCCTCATCTTTGCCCCCTTTTCCCCAGATATCCAGGCTCGAGCCACTGCCATTCCGGGCCGTGACACTTTGTTTCAACGAGAGAAAAAAGGCCGAGGCTGACATCCTCATCTGATCTCGGCCGACGCGTAAATCGTGAGACCTCATCTTATGTAGACCTCAATCGTTTCCATGTCGCCGATGTCAGCCTCCTCGACAGTCGTCTCCTCTCCGAGCTCGTCACCGTCAAACATGAGCGTGATGGGCGCGTCCTCAGCCAACCCACGCATTTTCCGGAACAACTCCATAAGCGTTCCGATGGTGGTCGACGGCCTCACCGAAGTCTTGAGCGGCTCGTCCGTCTTGGTCTTGAGGAGAACCTTGATCTTCTGCTCCACCTCTGGCTCGATGGCATCCGCGCCATCGCCCTGCTCGCCGCCTTCGTCGTCAGAGTAGTCTCCGAGGTCGTGTCTCCTCCTCCGCGCCTCTTGCTTCTCGTGCTCTTCCCACAACTCGCGCGTCCACATCTGCAGATGCACGTTTGTCCAGTCGTCGTCTTTGAAGCCCTCGGACAAATCTGCTCCACCGTCGCCACCACCGCCGCCGCCGCCGTTCTTGCGGAACGTAGCCTCCAGGTCGAGACTATGCAGTGTCGTGGTGTCATACAGCTCATGACCGCGCCATGTGAGGAATACACTGTCCACTTCCGAGCGAGGAATCTCAATACGTTCCAGCTGGACTTCAATCCACTTCATACGAATCACCTTGAGCGGCTTGGCAAGCGTGAAGCGGAATTGCCGATCCCTGGTGCCTGGTATATCAGAGGTGACGAAAACGTTGACGAGCTGGTTCTCGTCCTGCTCGAGAGCCTTTTTACGCTCCATGGCGCGTCGGACGTATTCCTCGAATTCATCATCTTCCTCTTCTTCCGGTGCCGCTGCCGCTCCTGCGACAGATGACTTTTTGTCTTCGTCCATTCCTTCTACAAAGGGGTCGTCCGAGTCAATCATGAGAGGCGACACCTCGGGCTCCGAAGTCTGTCTCCGGCGCTGCGTCTTGCGGACGGGCGACGCTTCGTAGATATCGTCGCTGGCCACATCGTCGACGTCGTCGAGGTCTTCGTCGCTATCCTCGATCGCGATGACGGGCTTGTGGGGTATCACCTCCTGCTTCCGAGGCGTCCGCGAGGCGGCGGCGCGGGTCAAGCGCTTCGAAGGTGTTTCTGTGCCTTCGCGGCGTTTGTAAGGCGACTGCTTTGTTCTCGATTGCGGGGATTCGTCGCTGGTTCGCGAGCGTTTGGATGGCGGCGTGCCGGGTTCCCTAACAGGTGGAAATTGGTGTCAGAAGACAGCCATGGTGGTAGTGCGAATATGTGTTGGGAGCGTACCTTGTTTCCCCTTCAACGTCGGTCTTGCCGGGCTCCTCGCTCGCTCTCGGCGCAGGCTCCGTCTCGCGCTCTGGCGAGCGCGCTTGTGTGCTCTTCTCTCGTTCCGCCTGCTTCCGTTTCATACGCCGCTCCTGTTCGGCGACTGCGACGGGGAAGAACTCGGCGGAGCGCTTGAACAGACTGAGTCCATCGTCGTCGTCGTCTTCTTCTTCTTCGTTGTCGTTCTTCTGCGTCGCGGGCTTCGGGTCGGACTTTTGTCGCAAAGCGGTGGGCTTGAAGGGAAGGCGCCTCTTGGGTTTGGCTGCGTCTGCCATGGCTCACAAGTGGACGTTTCTTCGAAATACACTGAGCGGCGGGGCAAATTTTGACTCGGAATTCGTTATGCGATCCGGTGCAATTTACAGGGTCCAAGGCGCAGGAATTTGGATGAGGTGATTTCTGTACCGACTTTATGTGGCCGTTGTGGTTGTTTTGTAAGTGAACTTTCTGTAACGGAGAAAAGGTCAGGCCATGCAGAGTAGGCGCCAGAGGCTGGGCCCAAAGGAGAAGGCGGCAGGTAGAAACATCACGAACAATGCGACGGAAGAAGGCGAGAGGGGGACGACGAGGCGTCCTGGCTCGCGCACCACCACCAAATATTTGGGTTGGGATTTGGGGGCCGCCGTTGTTTCCGTGGTGAGAGCAAAAAGATTGATTCGGCTGGTCCCACCTTACCAGGGCCCCAGGGGAGGACCTGGAGGGGATGGAGTTCGCCTTCGCACGCTGCTCAGCTTGGAGTGTGCGCTGCTCGGGTAGCCCTACAGTGCGAGCTGACCCTGGGAAAAGCTAACGCCAGGTGCAATCCAGGTACCCCAGGTACACAGGCCTTCGATGCTCTAACAGAGGGCAGCCGTCAACACCATCACCGCCAGCTGCCAGCAATTCTGCCAACATCATCACCAGTTTGACGTCCCACAGCCTCAACCACCACCCACCGTCACGTCAACCCGCCACGGAACAACCTACATCCCGAAGCCCTCTCCAATAACTCATATCCATCTCACAACATCCAGACAACGACAATGGAGAACGGAAACATCAGCCAGGGCGAGGGCAAGGACCCCTCCAGCTTCCTCAGCGATATCATCGGCAACCCCGTCACCGTGAAGCTCAATTCGGGCGTCGTCTACAAGGGTGAGTGCCTCAGCCGTCATTACCACAAATGAGATGAGCCCAGGCTCTATTCTTGATGTGGTGAGAAGTCTCTGACCATACACGTTCATTATAGGTGAGCTTCAGTCCGTTGATGGCTACATGAACATCGCCCTGGAGAAGACGGAGGAGTACGTCAACGGCACCAAGAGGCGGTCATACGGCGACGCATTTGTGAGAGGAAACAACGGTGATTCTCACTCCATCCCATTTTCAATTCAATTCAACTGACAGATAGTGCAGTCATGTACATTTCGGCAGACTCTTAGGAGGCGCGGATGAAGATGCCAACAATGGATCGGTTACTGGACTCTATCCACTAGCGAAGAGGTCTATGAACGAGTCTAGAGTGCTCGGGAGGCGTTCTTCATGAGATCTACCAACGCAGAAGAAAATATACCCTCAATTCTACCATATGGCCGAACGTTCTCTGCACCCTTTCGCCTTCGTCTGACCAGAACAGCAAAAGCACCCCCCACTTACGATGCAGACCATCTCACCACGGCTACAACCTCGAAGTCCACGCAAAATACGTAACCCCATGCAACGCAACCTCCCCCTTCTCATTCCTCTCCACGCTCTCTCCGCCTAGAATGGCATCAAACTCGGCCTTAAACGCCGCGGCCCGCGTCCCCTCGAGCACCGCGACCTGGCTCAGCGTCCGCAGCCGGTTCCACACCGCCTCGGGCGTCAGCCAGACCGTGAATGGCACTTTTTCCTCGCCCACGGGCACGCTGAAGAGGGGCATCTTGCGACCGCCCTCGAGGACGACGTCCTTGACGGCGCGCAGCGGGTTGGCGTCGAGCTGGCTGTCAAAGACGTCCTTCCAGACGAAGTCGCGGAAGCGCGGCTGGCCGTCACCGCCAAGGGTGAAGACGAGCTCGTTGAGGGACTGTTCCCAGGGCGTGCTTGCTTTCCAGTGCTTTGGCTTGTTGTCTGTGATCGCGTGGGGATTTCATTAGCATTCCTTTCTTTTTTTTTGTTGTGCGTCCTCGCGTAACATGGAGTATGTGTCTCCTGAGGATTGAGAACGAGCGGGAAGACTTACAATCTTCAATATTCCAGATGAAACCAAGCACGGCAGTCGGCTTCAGGACGCGATGAATCTCCTTTAGTGACTCCGTCGTTGCGAACCTATGCTTTATCATGAGCTTCTGTCCACAATCCTGAGTCCAGATGATGGATCGTCTTACCAGTGAAATGCCTGTGTAGAACACAAGTCAGCCATCAATCCCCAAACACAAGCACAAGCTCTTCCATCTCATTCCTCGCACCCCAAAACAAAACCCCCCCATCACCTTCCAAGAAAGAAGCACCAAAACTCACCTGCGCAACAACAGCACCATCCCCCCACTCCTCCCCGAGCGGCAACCTCGCCGCGAACCCGTCCTTCACCTCGACGCCCCTCAGCCCCTTCTTCTCCAGCTCCGCCCTCATCCCCTCGTGCGGCTCCACGGCCACGACCTCGAACCCCTCGTGCCGCGCCGCCAGCACCTCGGTCATCTTCCCCGTGCCCGCGGCCAGGTCCAGGATCTTGGCGTGCGGCACGTCGGCGAGGCGGAGGTGCTCCAGGAACTTTTGGGTCGCGGCGGCGGGGTAGGAGGGGCGGTAGGCGTCGTAGGTTGCGGCGTCTGCGAAGCCTTTTGAGGCGCCTTGGTGGAGGGATGTTGGGGACATTGTGGTGGTTGTTGTGGTGGTTGTTGTTGTTGTTGTGTTTTCTTCTTTTTTCTAATTCCTCCTTTTTGGGGTCCGTGATTTGCTGAAGTTGGGGATTCGTGAGGTGCTGTGTTTGATGTTCGAGGTTGAGTTGAGTTGGTGATGACCTGTCTGTCTATACAAGTATGCTTAAAACCGTGATGTGATTATGCTGCGGATGAAGATGTCTCAAAACGCCCGTGTCAAGTTGCTCGGATCTGAGAGCCCTTTCCTTTAGTAGGATCTTGTATTCGCAAGGAGCTAAACCCAAGATGCAATTGCGCGATATTCCCCAAAAACGGACTTCACAATGAGGATAGAGTGTGTGAAAGCAAGGAGGCAACTCAATCCGTAGAAGAGGGGGATTGATCGCGGTTATTCCTTTGGCCGCCGATACGGATCGTCTCCCCTTCTCCATTCATCACGCACGTCATGTCAATTATGTGGGGGCACGGGGCTGAGGAGGATGGCTTCCATGGGGGTTGGACGAGGGGAGGTCGAACGAGCGGGGTCCCATTTGCGTCGCCATAACCGGCGCCGGTGCCGACGTGCGCGGAGCCACGCCGAAGTCCGGAGCGCAGAGTTGCGAGCCGAGCGGCGCTATTAAAGTGATTGCATTGCACCAAATCGATGCCTTGGCCATCGGTCTCAATCGATACATGCTGCCTCATTGCAGGTAATTGGCCAAGTGTTATTATAATTGTTTTTCTTTCTTGTGATTGTGCTTATTCTATGGATGGAACGCTGTCCTTTTAATGATAGTCTGCCCCAATCTCTCATATTTGAGAGCGGGGTTCGACGAGAGACCTTGCGGCGCAAGAGGTGCCCACCGTCTAACGTGTTCTCGATGATGAATTCTTTTTTACATGCCTGAAACGCCTTTCCCCTCGTATGCCATCTCTTTCGTGAAGGAGAGGCCACGGAACCTAGTATCCAACCCCCCGCTGTCCATATTCGACAGATTGCCCTTTGTTACTCATACAGTTGCTACGATATTACTCTCCAAGTTTGTGAGAAGATTCGCGAAAGAAAGGAAGCCAAAAAGAAAACTCGCTTTACCATCCGATGCTGATGTACCGTCAATCAACCACACTACCTAAGCCTGAAAGAGGACTTAGTTGTGATTATTGCTGCTACTGCTGCCGCTGCTCCCGCTGCTACCATCGCTGGCGTAGCGCTGGCTGGTGATATACTCAACATTCGCAAACTTAACGTGATGAGCTCCCTGCTGCTGCTGCTGCTGCTGAGAAGGAAGCAACGCCTGGTCGGCACCAGGGGTAGTAACAGGCGTAGCAAACGGATCAGTGAGATCCCCGCCGGGCGAGACCTGCGGCACGGTAGAGTACGTTCCCTTGCCGTTCTTGGGCAGCTGCAAGCTGCCGCTGAAAGAGCGGACACCGCCGCCCGTCGTCGGTTGCTGAGCGGGACCGCCGGTGACGTTGCGAACCTTGTTGAGCTGGCGGTTGACGACGGGTGAGGCCCGGACAGGTACTCGGACGTCGATGCCGTTGTAGTTTTCGCTGCTGATGCCAGCGTTGCCGCGATCGATGGGGCTGACAGGGCTACTGGCCTCATCCGAGGACTCGGAATGGGCGACGTTTCCGCGGGGCTGGTAAGTGCTGTAGGAGGGTGCGGTTGGCGGGTTCGGGTTGCCCTCAAGCTGGCTCAGCGCGTCGGCACGGCTCGCAACGGCGTTTCCGGTGAATGACTTGGGGCGATATGTCTGAGGACCAATGGTAACACCGTTGCCGCCGCGAGACGAAGGCGGAGAGCCAAAGGGGTCTGAGGAGTTCGTTGAGGCGGGTGAGATGGGACCCATAGAGACGTACTTGCCCTTGCCCTTGGCGGAATTGAGAGGGGAATCGGTGGCAGGGGTGGCGGGGCGAGAAATCCAGATGCCGTCGACCTCGATGCCGGACTGAATGGCGCGGACGCCAAAGGGGATTTCGGATTGCTTTCGTGGGGGCGGCAGGCCGGTTGATTCCATCTCTGAGGCATGTGCCCTCTTTTCCGCGTCAATGATTTCGAGCTTGGCCATGTATCGGTTTGACCACCATAGCTTCACAAAGCCTATAATGAAGACGACGCCGATGGCACAAGCCAGTACCTATGAGACAAGTGTGTTAGTCATGAAGCTTAGGATGTACCGATTTGTAGACTTACAAAAGTCATCTGCTGCCACAACTCCCAGTCAACAAATACTCGCTTGCCCATTGTGATTCGCGTTGAATGAAGTTGATGTGTATGGCGTTGTGTGGTGGTGAGAGGGAGGGTTGCTCAAGGTCTGAGGAGGAAGGTGAGGAAGGTGCGTGGTATCAGATGTGAAAATGTCGACCAAAGCGAACAGAGATGGAGCACAGCTCTCTTCTTGAAGTGAGGAAGAATACGTGAAGGCAGGGGTCCCTCTTGCGACCGAAGTCGGTTCTGGCCTCGGAGGTGTGACGTTCCTGAACTGCTGCAATCGGACTGGTTCACAATGTCTTGTCGGATGCGGCGAAGAGCGTTGTCCGTGGCGGTAGACCGAGAACAAGCTCAGAGACTGTGATTTTCGATAATGGGCGAGGCGCTGTGGCTTCTTAATCGGGTAAGAAAAAGAGATCGCTATGGTAATATTGGTACAGAGTGTTGCTGTTGTTTGAGTCGTTTAGTTAAGGGTCGGAGATGATGTCAAAAACCGAGGTAAGGTACAAGACAAGGCCAGAAGCCACCGTTATCGAGTATCAGTTACACAGGATGGGAATAGAAGGTGACCTCGTATTAGAGGGGCACTGGTGAATATAAGGGGACTTCAAGGGGTCCTGGGCGGTGAAGGATGGAAACAAAAAAACCTGGATGAGATGCGTGATCTTGGTTCTCAATGGTCAGACGGAAGCCGGCAAGTTATGTATGAAACAGGGAACACGGATACCAACAGCAAACAACACAACACCCACATCCACCTTTCTCACCAGCCATATTACCTACCTGTCCGCCATGGACGAGCTCGTTAGATGGGGTCGGCCTGGACTCTCGAGCAGTACTGGACTAGGACTAGACTGAAGGGTGACCGAAGCCAGGATCCGTCTCGGGCAGAGTGTGTCAGTGGCTGAGTTGCCTCTCTCTCAGTGTCCATCGTCCAAGTGGAGATGGGAGGAGACATCGTGGTGTATTCTCGACGAGAGCGCCGGCTGAGGACGTGCGTTGGGGTGAAGGGCGAGTGCTACCACGTCCAGTCGAGAAGTCCATCCCAAAAGGGGATTTGGAAGTCGGGTGTGGTAGTAATTGGGTCGTTGGTGTTTTCTGAGCACCGCTACCGTATAGTCGTAGTCTCGTACTCATGCCCGCTGCAGGGCATGGGTCTGGGTTATCCCTGCTCGACCCCATCGAGGATCCCATCTCGCGGATCGAGACAAGCTGCTAGACCTGTTTGCGTTTGGTTCAATGGCGCTTTGGGACGACTTCACCTCGCAGTCAACCGTCTTGCTATGTGCCGCCGCCATGTCAAAATCCCTGGGAATTGGGCCGGGCGTTGCTGGAATGTTCAACCCTCTCTGTCTACAGAATCAAAGTGCGAAAGCGTACCTTGTAAGTAGAAACGCCACAAAGGAAAGAGAGTTGTGGGGGGGATGAGCGGGCAGAACCAACATGTTGCTACGACGGAAGTGGTCTCAGATAGCCGTTTGCGGAATGCAAGGTACGGCGCGGGCTGATCTAGTTTCGCCCACTTGGCGCCGAAAGGTGGGCGGAAGAGCAAGCCACACCTGATTTCCAGACTGAGATGGGGAACCTTGGCCAGTCGTTGCCTCTCATCTATAGTGATTTCTTGAGTATATTCAATCCCATCGCCGCATGTTATCTCCATGTTTTCGTTTGCGGACAAGCCACTTTCGTCCACGTTCTAGAGCTGTCGAGTCTGGACCATCGTCACATGACCCAGCATGCCGTGCAATCCACGATAGACGTGAACAGGCAGCCGAGAGGCGAGTAAGATGTTTTGTAGAATTCCGCACTCTCCCCGTGGTCTCGAAGCTTCCGCGGGGTCCTAAGAAGCCAGTGGACGTTTGCTGCACTCTAGTGGTTCAGTCATATCGCCATCTAAGTGGTCGACTTCGCCATAGGCCAGATGTGGACAGAGCGGGAGACGAGTCGGACGTAGGAACCAGGTAGACGCAGGAACCAGACAGGCTCGACGCGATGCATAGCCTCAAGGGCTTTCCATGGCCGCTTCGGTCGCGCTGCCCCTGGAGATCCCACATTCGTGCTGATCTCTTTCGTCCTGCAACCTGCAGCGTGCGGCGGGCGAAGTGTGTGCTTTACATAGCATTGCATCGTGAGTGGAGCCCCGCGGCATCGAGGCTCGACCTGAAAACGACCACTGGCCTTGGCGAGCCACGGGAACCGTGTCATCCAGTGCTACGCCAGCGGCGAGAGGTCGACTAAGTCGTTTGAGCTTTCCTCTCTCCTTATGACAGCAGCCGTTGACCGTCTCGCTGCGAGTCGTCCGATGTTGCTCGGGCGCACGCTCAAGGGTCGATCATTTCATGTCCTGCTTTTCTTAGGTACACCGTACACGGGCACACATGGCGTCGGCCTAGCGCCCACGCCATGAGATCCAAAAGCGCAGGCTGGGGAGAACAGACGTCGTCCCGTCAGGTACCGCGATGAAATTCTTATTTTCCGAGCCTGAGAAATCCAAAAGGTGGGTTGAGCAGGCGTTTGATGTCAATGCGGCTGTTAGGCGCGGGTCTGTTTCGTCCTTCCCACGGACAATCGAGATTACGTGCGTCTCAGCGTCCACCACATCCTTTGGCAGATCACACCAGAGGTCTTTGATGATGAAAGGCCGTTCATGGCAATTCCCGTACGTGCTGTCAGCAACATGATTATCGCCTAATCATCACATTTGACAGATCGCAGTGAAAGCAGGTCCGGTATCGATAGATCTGAGAAGTGTAGGAGTTCTCATTGATCTTGGCCTTCAGGCTTCAATGGAATCCCGATCAGGGCCGCCTGTCGAAGACCAGCATGTCCGTGCCAGAACTCGAATTTCAAATCTCGATAATCTGATCAGTGTTCCGTGTTCAGACCAGACATATCTACTACATTCATGGTTTTGACAGGGTCATTCCGTGATGGCATCGGCACATCAGCAGTGAGCCCCCACTGTCGCCGAGCATACAACACTCTGATCAACCCAATGCTTGCTGTTTTCCCCTTGACGCCGACTTGGTCACTTCTTTGTCTGCGGGCGCGCCATTTCTGCTTGGATTGATGTACAGAACCATTAGGCGACACGGACGACGATGGTCCTTCTCAGATCCTGTGCCGATGACGACTATGTCGCCGATGATGGCGAGGATTGTAGATCGATTTTTACGACGAACAAAGAACTGGAAAGGCGCGTCGGTAATGGCGAAAGCGATCTCTTCAGAAGCCCGACGTTGCGAGCCGAACCCAGGTCAAGGTTGGCGGATACTCTGGCAATCATCCGAGACAAAGGGATATCTCGACGCAGGCGCGGTTGATCGGTCCCCTTCCGGTAGACTGCTTATTCGATGCATAGAAGAGCGATCAGCTGATGATAGCGACAGTAGCAAGTGCAGCAAGGTATTCTCGCTCGGCTAAAGACTAAGATGGCATCAGCTGGTCAACCGCCGAAGCATACGAGAAGCATAGCCAAAGTCCGTCGAAGTCAACATAGCACCGTGACAGGGCCGGTGTTAGGCATCGCCGACGCCTAGACTTGTGGTGTCAACAGCCTATCTCGATGGTGGGTGGTTGCGTGGGTGCCAGTCTGTCTGTAGCGTGCCCGCTCCATCGGATCTGGGCGTCTACATTCCCAGCTGCCTGTCGGACCGCAGCCACTTTGGGTAGCCGAAGTCACGATAACCCAATCCGGTACCATGCTGAACCACGATGTGAACGGCCCTCAAGCTCCTCGTTGCACGTTGGACAATTACAATTTGTGTCGCTTTTGCCCCGGGTCATGGTGTACAGGCACTGGTTGACTGGCCAGGCCGATTGCGCATCTTCACAGGAGGAAGGGTCAAGCCGGCCAAGCCATAGCCGGCGAGGGCGTCCGGGAAGGCGACTTTCAACGAAACTTGTGCAAGACAACCTACGACGAGGAGGCGTCTTGGTGTGAGTGAATCCCGCATGCAGAAAACTTTCACTGAGCTAAAGGTCGAAGTAGGTCGCAGCCTGGTTCCAGACCAACAGGCATCTTGTTGTTAAAAAGAGGCTGTCAACCTCATGGGATGCCGAGTGCCAGCCAACTGACTTCTATCGTAGATTATGGACTCTCAAGATGCTTGAGGACGCAGATTTTGACGTCGCTCAGTCTGACATTCATATGAGGGTTGAGTCTGGCGTATAGGGCTATTGATCATGAATCGGGAGGGCGAGTCGAAGTCGCAACGCTCTATGACTGTTCTCCTATCACGTGTGCGGATATCCCTTTCCCAACTGATAGATAGGACCCTCATGATTCATCAGCTTTGATGGAAGCGTGCGGTGGAGTATCGCGCCGGCCACGGCGATGACCGACCCCCGTTCTCCGCCCGGCAGGTCAATGATCCGCTGAGGGGAAAGGTGGGTTGAGTAGAGCGTCATATGGAGAGCGGATAGGCGCAGCCAACTCACGTTCCGATGTGGTCAATCAGGAACAATTGGACGGACATGATGCAGGTCCGCATCAGGGCGACAGAAAGAGGAAGTGCGGCACGGAGATCAAAGGGCAGTCTTGTTGCGCTCCGATGCCGAGAGATCCGAAGTGTGCCGTCCGAACGTCCAGATTTGCCTAGCATCGTACTGTGGATGAACACCTTGCGACGGGTGAGCAGGACTGTGCCAGAGAGTCGAGGCGAGACGGAGAAGAGACGATTGGTGTCCGTTTGGGGGCCGAGGGTTCGACGCTTGTGGCTGCGCAGAGCTTTCACAGGTCTGCCAGTATGCGCCTAGAAATGAAGGTAGACGCTGAATGGTGGGCGAATTTAACCGCTGTAACCAAGGTGAAAGAAAGCCAGGATAATCAGGGTTGGAATTTGGAAAAGGGCATGCCCCCGTCGCGGGGATTCGGGACGCAAGGTTGGACCGGACAAGGTGGATGACGGCAAGCGTCACTGCGGGCTTCCAGAAGGGAGGACACCATACTGGTCGGGTGATTACATAAGAAGGCAAATTTCAAAGAGATACATGGAGTTTTGCTGCATTCAAGGCACCGTCACATGTACCGACCCGCATCCCACCTTAAGGTACCTAGGTACCCTTATGTCACTGGCGGCGGCGACGAACCATTCAGCTCAGTTGGGCTAGAAAGAGCAGGCACGTAGACATGGCAAGAACAAGAACATGGGACAAACACATGTCATCGACCAAGGTCCCTGGCCTTTGGAAAGCTTCTCAAGCTTGCAACAGCGGAATCGGTGTGGCCGGTTCATGACTCCAGCCACTGAGAGGGCGAGTGACCGAGTTAGTGAGCTAATGTTTGATCATGTCTTTCCCCAGTGCCCTGGGCCGTTGGTGGCATGGTATTCGCGGTTCGTTCCAAGTTTCCCGGTTTTTCCGAATCCCCGTCTTGCCTAGCTTGTATGGTGCCGCCATCGCAAACCCAATTCTCGTGAGATGTCTTTGAATGCTTCGAGGCTGTCCAGGCTGTCAATATCCCCACTGATGGACATAGGCCGCGCAGTGTTTGCAAAACATGTTGGCTGAGTCGTGGGATCGTGCCGATGATCTGCCCATGCCGATGATGGGGAACCGCTGCAGCAGCTTACACACCTTTGCCGTTTAGGGCTCTCGGACTTGACACCTTCAAACGTCCCTACGTGCCTATTCCCTGCCATGCCATGGAAAAGCTCTTTTCTCAGTTCCCACTCTACCCTGAAGAGTGATGGCGAAGAGTCCGGGCGGGACCGCGGTTTCTCACAGCGGTACCGGCAGCGACACCGGGGTTCTTTACCTCGCCATACTCGGTACTGATACTGGGCGTTCTACCAAGTTACCTCATGATCCAATGGATGCATCTGCAAGAGGGTCATTCGTCACCTCCAAGTCTGATGTGCCCCCCCTTGCGTCTAGTCCCTGAGTGGCAGTAGCGCGTATCCGCACCTACTTTTCCCATGCTTTATGGGCGGATGCAAGGAAGGAAAGAAAATGTACGGATGGGCAGGCACGAGCGGGAAGAAAAAAGACATGACAGAGACGCTCGCACTTGCCAGGGGAAGACAAGCACAACCACAGCCCAAAACCTGCAGATTTCCGCCCGATGATATTGTCCGCCAGTTCTAGCTCCCATCCATCTCTACCTTACCGTCTACTCACTTTTTTCTCTGCTCACTTGCCGACCATACACCATACTCCATACGCAGCACCACGTCTCGATTACGTCCTCAACTTTGAACAAGCGCCAACCCGTTCCCCAGCCTTCGTCTCCATCTTCCTGCGCCTCACTTGGGATCTCCATCATCTCCTGCATCCATCTCTCTGTAGGACCTCTACAGACCAATACCGTTCGGCCTTGTCCATCCCAAGCCACCGTCTTACTGTACATGTAGACTAAGACTGGGCCCTTGGACCAACTCAGACACCACTAGCTATCACTGCGTACACTACACACATCTGCCCGAGTGGGAAATAGGACGGGTCAAGATTGCCATATAGTTCATCGCCATCCCTTCCCGCTACCCTATTCCCCGCCTTCGCCTTTTGGGTCCACCGATCGATTTCTTTGTCAAACGGTCCCAGCATCAACCTCGAAACGCAAACACAACTCGAAACATAACGCACCAAGTTTTTCTCTCTAGCTTCTAAACACAAGTTGGCACATTGCCCCGGTCTACAACATCGACACCGTCGCGACAAATTGAGATTCCCTCCTTACCAGCTACCCTCCCGACCTTGCCGCTTTCGCGCCATCCTCCGCCATGCCCATTCGCAACCCTTTTGCCCGCCGTCCGGGCCCTGCCACTCTCCATGCAGACGAAAGCTCACGATCCGATGGCGAGAACCCGTCGCATCCTGGATTTGAGAAGCAAGACACAGTCGGCTCCAAGGCTTCTTCTTCCCTCAGCGTCAGAAGTTCCAAGAGCCAGGACAACGGGGAATACAAGATGAGTGGTATGCACCTTCACCTCTCATCAGACGTGATGGCGCGCACATGGAACCAATTGACTTACTTTTCTCTGCATCACAGTCGTGAATGACAGCGGCGTCTATCTTCCGGTATGCACCCTCGCAATCAACAATCTCACCCATGCTCGAGACATTTGCTAATGCGCATGCGTAGCCATCCCCAACTGAAGAAAAAGGCCTGTGGCCGAGCAAGTACCTCGGCTCTGGCCGCAACTCGACAGACACTCGCAGCAATAGCGGCGAGATTGAGCATTTCTCTATTTCCCGAGAATCCTTCGATTCGTACAGGCGATCATTTGTACGTCGAGTTCAAGCCCGCTATTTGTGGCGCCACCGCTGACCGCAATTGCGTTGCAGGACATCACAGCACGGTCCCCTATTCCCCAGAACGACTTCCCGGCGCGCCAGAGTCTCGACTCAGCCCGCTACCCTCGCCTGCCTCGATCCGCGCTTGACAGACACCGGGAACTCCCTACAGCTGACGAGGGCTTCGAAGACGTCGGCCTGGACGACCAGAAGCATCAACAACAACACCACCAATCCAGCCGCATGCGCGGCCTGTTCTCGCGCTTCGGTGACTCAGACCACAAGGAGCCGAGCGCCAACTCAACCAACTCAAGCGTCACGCGCTTCCTGAATGGCGCTGGAAGAAAGCGCGGCCAGAGCGGGCAAGGCTCAGAACTAGGAACCATCGAACGCCCAAAGTCGGCAGCGTCAGTCGAGACCACCGAAATTCATTAATCGTACTCCCGGGCATCTTTTCTTCTTACTTTGTATATACGTCCTGTCGATGCAGCCCTTGCGGGCTTGGGATTTGGCGTTACTGGTTGGGTTATGTCCCAAGATATGGGGTGCATTCGCTATGACATGGTTAGAGTTGGGCCAATCAGCTTGCACACTCATCGGGTCGAGCCGCGTTATGCGTATACGGGCGGTTGCAAGCCACCCTGGCGAGCAGAGCTTCGAGTCCGAGTGTCTTGGAAATAAGCTCTTAATGATAATGATATTGGTTGACATGTCTTGGCTCCAGGGCCTGCTGTATGGTGACATTGTCCGTGACATACCTTAAAATTTGTGAGGTAGTGTAAGTTCGGGATATGAGAGAGATTACTCATTGAAATGGCTGGAATAACGATCCGAACCTCGGAGGGATGGACTGGCGGAGACTCATCCGGCATCGTTGTTCCAATGGTCAGTATGCTTTTGACGTGGTTTAGCAAATACTTTTTGATCCGTCATGCACTTATCGCACCATGACCCAGCTTCGGGGTTTGGTCTCCGACCCCACCTTTTGATAAGGTTCCACGCAATGGAGGGGCAGAGTCACTGAGACGGCTGGTTCCCGGCACCGGGCCGCCCGCCTTGATCGTCTTCCGCGCCGGTTGTTTGTCGGTGACTCTTCATTTTTCTCATCTTATGACACATCTGGAGCTTCCACGCCCTGTGCATTACATCTCGACTCCCCCTTCAGTCGTTCAAGATCTTGTGTCATATATCGTCACCTATTCCAGGACTCTTTATTCCCAGCAAGAGGCACTGAAGCACCCCTCTTCACTTGGCATATTTCACGACAAACAACACAATGGCTGGAGATATCCCCACGATCGGTGACACGGCGACCCGGACCGCTCCCGGGGCCGGCTCCGAAGGCCCGACGACGGCCGCTGCCAGCAAGAGAGAGCTCTCGCTTGCTACGCTTTCCGTCCACGCTGATGATGGCATCAGCAGCCACCGCGCCATCGCGCCGGCGATGCACGTGTCGACGACGTTCAAGTACCACAGCAACCCGGATGAGCTCCGTTCAGGGGAGAATGTCGATGTAAGTCTTGCCCGCGCTCTCATGATGTTACTTGATTCAGCTTCCAAGACAATTCGCCGCTGCTGAGGAACTATGAGAACGACCCCTTCATGAGATGGGAAGACCAAAAGAAAAAAAAAGCTCAAGCTAACATCCAAACCTAGCCCTCCGCCCCGGGCGACTCCCACATCTACTCCCGCTACTCGGGCCCCAACACAACCCGCCTCGAGGCAATCCTCTCGAGCGTGCTCCGCGGTCCCACCCTGACCTACTCCTCGGGCCTCTCCGCCTTCCACGCCATGCTCGTCTTCCTGAACCCGAAGCGCGTGGCCATCGGCGGCGGGTACCACGGCTGCCACGGCGTCATCAAGGTCCTCGCGAAGCTCAACGGCCTGCAGCAGCTCGCGCTCGACGACGCCTCGCTGGAGAAGCTGGAGGCCGGGGACGTGCTGCACGTCGAGACGCCGCTGAACCCGACGGGCGAGGCGCGGAACCTGGCGTATTTCAGGGACGTTGCGAGCAGGAAGGGCGCGTATTTGACGGTGGATGCCACGTTTGCGCCGCCGCCTTTGCAGGATCCGTTTGCGTTGGGCGCGGATGTCGTGATGCATTCCGGGACCAAGTATTTCGGGGGGCATTCGGATATGCTGTGCGGGACGCTGAGTCTGAATTCCAAGCACGCGGACGAGTGGATGCCGGAGCTGTTGATGGAGAGGTGTTTTATCGGGAGCGTGATGGGGAGTATGGAGGGGTGGTTGGGCGTCCGGTCGCTGAGGACGTTGGAGCTGAGGGTCAAGAGGCAGTCCGAGTCCGCGACGAAGCTTGTCGCGTGGCTTGATGGGGAGGTTCGCGGGAACCCCGGGGGGTTGGTGGGTAGCGTCGTCGACGCGGTGCAGCACGCGAGTTTGCAGGCTGCGGATCTGGAGGCCGGGTGGTTGAAGGAGCAGATGCCCGGCGGGTTCGGCCCCGTGTTTGCGTTGTTGTTGAAGGACGAGGGGGACGCGAAGAGGTTGCCGAGCAAGATGGGCTTGTTCCACCACGCTACGTCGCTGGGTGGTGTCGAGAGTCTTATCGAGTGGCGGGCGATGAGCGATAGCGGGTGCAGTAAGAGGTTGTTGAGGGTGAGTGTTGGTGTAGAGGGGTGGGAAGATTTGAGAGATGATTTGATTCAGGGGTTCGAGGCGTTGGTGAAGGAAAAGAAGAAGACGGTTTAAGGGGTGATGTTGAAGGCGACTTTCGGGGTTTTAGTTTGATTCTGGTAGAAGTCGATGTGGAGCCACTTAGATGGTATCTTGATAGAAAGTTCTTGTTTGAAGACGAGATGGCTAGGGATTCATATTTCGGTCCATGTCTAGGTATATATTTGCGAATATTGAAGGCCGAGTCGGGCAAGTTACTGACTTTTATGGATGTTCATCGCGCTCAAGTTCTCAACTCCTTGATTTGACAGTCATTGATGACTTACCTCTGTCCAATCGCCTTCACGAGAATTCAACGGGACAAAGTCGAGTGTGAGCTGCTGGTATTCCATAGAGTCTTCTTGCATCGCATCTGAAGATCAATTGTCAATTGGGTGGTGGTAGGTGTATAGGACAAGATGGACCTCTCGTCACGGATTTTGACCTTCCCAAGAAACTTCCCAGTCGTCGCAGTAATACTGGAGACCAAAATGTGCAGCAGTTAAAGCGATCTATTGCATTCTAGAAACCTTGTAATCCAGAGAAGCCAATGTCTTTAACACCGGCGACAGCAAGTATAGGGTTCTCATGAGCTATAGACTGCGATCTGCAAATCAGAACAGCAGGGTATCTGGCCCAACATCTCAAAGCAATCTCAAAGCAGTCCCATATCAGGCTCGATCCACTTCTTTTATCCATTATCCAGAGTTTGTTCTCCATCTCTTCCATCAAAGCA